AAGTGGCCATCTTGGAGAAAACTTAATGCAAGCTGCTTACTGTACAATATGCGTAAGCAACTGTTAAAAATATTAAACTAATGATGAGTTACACAAAAAGATGAAAACTAAGACAATGTGTCTGTGGAGGAAACATGAAATCCGTGGCTTACGATTGAACATCTTGTTTTCTCGGTGGCTTTTATATCAATTCATGAGGTTGAGATGATCCTTCAGTTTAACTTTGAAAAGCATGTGCAGTAATAACCAAGATAAGCTGTAGACTTAGACAAAGTGTGCGTTAATGGCCGGATGCCGGCATTGCATTGCACAAAGCACTCTTACATCGGACACAGACGTAACTCATCAACAATCACCACAAATTCAGGTTTGCTCTTCGTTTTGTTGCAGCCTTCTGAAACCTTAAATGTTAAGCGAAAGAGTAGTTATCTGTGACAATGAGCCAAAATTACAATCACATGAGGCCATGGATTTCAAGGAAATTAAACCAAAATGTACAGTTGCCTGAAATAGTTTGCAGAAAAACAAAATGAGGTGTATTTAACATTCAGGCACAATGCTGAAAAGTGACAATTGCTTATCTCCATGGAGATCAATAATGGCTGCAGGATCATTGTGTAAAGTGTCTGCAGGTTTAATGCAGATAGGATGTCATTATTATTTTCTTTCTCCTAATGACCATCATTATGCATGGACACTGATTGAATTCCATTTGTTACCTACGTTTGAGCCTGAGTGGAATAATTACCATTTAAGTATCTCCATTAAAATTCATGCACGGATGTTCATACTCAGACCTTTTTTTTAAAAATAACTAAAATATTCTTTGAATACAAAATTCATTGGCTACAACCCGGCCCTGCTTTAATCCTTCAAGTCTAATTACGTGTGAGTGTTATTAAAGCATGTCTTCTCTTTTAGTTTGCATCTTTTTTTTTTCTTAAATGACAGGAAAAGAGAAGTAAGAACCGATTCCTGCTCAAGTGCTATCAATGCAGCACACTCTCTTAATATTTAATTAAAATGGATCTTCTGGTGAGTGTGATCAATATCCAGCTCCCTGTCTAAATTGCTTTTTCAACCTCCTGTTTCACATACCAATGTTTTTGTAGGTAAACACATTTAATTTTTTTGTTTATTGTTATTGTGCTGATATTAGTGGACCTCTTTTGCTATCATCACTCCATAATGGTGCGATTGCTGACCTTTACAAACTTGCGCAACAGCTTAAGATGTGATTTCTCCTTCAAAAACCGACCCGTTTGTTGTTCGTTGGTGCATGAATTCAGCACAAACAAGAACGTGTCGCTTCTCGTTTCTTTTTCTACTGGCGGTCGCCCCTTTGTGTGCGGTTGGCCCCGAGTGGAAGTACATATGTTCATGTTGCAGGTAAATAAGGCAGCCTCTTCCTTAATACAGCCGTCTTCTGTGAATTCACAGCTGTGGCTGAACGGTGAGTCAGTGGAGCAGAACGGAGAAGGGATTTGGCCACACCTAATCAATCACTGACAGATTACCGCTAAAGCCACTTCCATGCACATTAAAGACAGACAAATGCAGAATTGCAACTGAACAAGTTCTAGTTTTAAGGCGACAGTGGGACTTCCTGGTGATTTATCAAAGTCGCTGCTGCTGAGCAGCGTGCCTTTGTGATTGTAGTTTGCAGCGGACAGAGCTGAGGCGCCGCACTGAAAGGGGTGTTTATGCCCTCAGCTGTGGCACTGACAGCCTCGTGAAATTTACTGTAAATCACATTGCTTTTATTGCAAGATTTAGTAGCTTATCCTCTGGTGGCTCTATTCACTTCCAACGTGTCCCTATTAGGATTGTAGCCCTGGTCTATGGAGGGCCTCGGATACACATCTAAAAATAATGTGGGAAATCAAGCCTGGGATTTTTTTACTTTTAGCACATCTTTCTCTATAATAGCTTTTCCTTTTTTATATTTGCGACTAGAAGGCGGTGTCTTAATACTAGGTGTGTGCTCTCTTCCTGGTGAGGATTGCTGCCCCTGCAGCATCTCGTAGAATGATGTTGCTTTGTTTACATTGTGAAATGCTGAAAAATATTAACACTATTCAGGGAAGGAAAATCAAATTAGTTGTCAGTGCTGGTGGAAATACTTAATAGACATATTCTTATTTTGGTGTGAGATTAACGCTACGCGCTGTTTAAAAACTACCACAGTGGAGATGAGTCAATATCTACGAGCCTCTAATCAGGGGAATAAAATCAGTTTGTTACATCTTGCTTCTGTGAGAAATGGCTCAATGCAGCTGGTTCCTCCGAAGTCAGTGTTTCACGGCAGAAACAATAAACGCCCGGCAACATGGTTTGAGTGATCACACATGACATGAGAGTCTGTAGGCAGAAGGTTAGAAAACAAGCAGTCACGTGCCGCGTAAACCCCTAACCTCGTTCCTGAGGAAATGAACAATTCCCGTCCGTGAGTGTCTATTTAACACTGATTCCTCATTACAAGCGTAGTCACTGCAGAAATATGCAGACATTGATATTCATCCTGGAAAAAGGGTAATGTGTGACTTTTTTATTTTATTTAACAACTCAATTTTGTGAAACGGGTTTGAATCTTTTCAAACTGTGTCGTTTGAAATTTAGATCCGAAATGGCTTAACACTAAAATCACAGCAACTTCTTTCGCTCTCTGTGTTTGATTTGTGTCAAGGAGGATTCAAGTGTGTGATGGACGTGAACTGTGATCTCTGTAGCTGTGTGTGTGTGCGCGGCGTCTGCATGATGTGTGTATTGACGTGCTGTAGCAAGAGTTCAGGGAGGCAGCTGAGCAAAATAATTTAGAATGTCCTGCCTGCTGACACAAGGACAAAGGCACGGACTGAACATGCCCATAAGAGGAAGGAGACAATGGACGTGGCTACCTGGAAATGCACTGCTGTTGTTTTGCCCGTGACCTCCACAGCTCACAGATATTTTCACAGGCTGTTCCTACAATCGTGGACACCCACTTCTGCTCGAGTCAGCTGCGTATTAACGGGACGTTTCTTCACGATGAGAACCAGCATCCGTACTTTGTTATTAGCAGGGGATAAATAAATGGCATTAGGATCATTTTACTACCTTTTAAATCTCGGCCAGTGTTGACGCTGCCGACAGGGACAGAAGCAGTGGATTAAAGTGGAGTGTGTGCGTTTTTTTAAATGCCGTTGTCCAAAGTAGCCGTGGTTACTTCACATCCGGCCTTTTGGGTATAGGATTCATCTTAAGAGCTCATGCAGTTGGAATTAGCATGGTGCAGTCAAGGGAGCACTGAAGGCTGAATCAATGCATCACTCCTAAGGCCTTGGTATGGATATGAGAGGGCATAATGGGACTTTTGTTGCCGGCTCTCACATCATATGTCGAACCGGGGTCTTCGTGAGACGCTTTCCCCAAAGGAGGAGAGCCCCCACCTCCCCTTCTTGTTTCTCCCCTTTTTCAAGGCTGTGCACAGATAACAGAGAGGGGTTTCAGAATAACCTGCAAAACTTTGAGTCAGTCAGCGAACAAATTGCAACGCTATGTATAAATAAATGTCCCTTTCAGGACAAAATGACTTGTGGTAAGTAAGTAACAAAAGTGGATATTCACAGCCTAAAGCAATGGGCAAAAATGAATCTTTTTAAAATGTCCAATATGTACCAGGTCAGCCGGTCAAAAGTGTCGACAATCCCCAGCTTTCCCCCACTCGCCGTACGGTTCTCCTCACAAAACGTGTGACAGCGGAATCGGCCCAGTCACTTAAGGTTATCCAACTTCCGTCACCTTGTGATGACAAGGCAGCAAAACTTCCATCATCCATTTATTGTTTTTAATGTAGCCTACATGTGAACCTGAAACAAACCACAACTTAACCGTGTGCACACACATCATGTGCACACTGTACTAATCAAACTATAACTACACCCCTACTCAGAGGAATATGCAACTCTGACCCCAATGGTGAAATCTCGCCAGCAGAGACAACCTCAACGCAGGACAATTGGGGAGGTAAGCAACAGGCTACTCTTGACTATAACAGAAGCAATATCCAGCAAATGTATATAACATCTCTCACACCCTTAATAGCAATGCGTTTACGATGTGTCCCTCTTGCTCTTATTCAGAGAAGTGGACACGATGCAGCACTCAATCCAACAGAGCCTGCAGACGCCATACAATTAGTCTCAGTTGTTAATAGCCTCGAACACGTTGTCACAATAGGCTGCGGGTGAAGCCTGCTTCCCTTTGAATCCGGCTCCCGCTGCACAGATCATGCGCAGTGTGCAGCGTGCCGCCTTCAGTCAGCGGAGCAGCTGTCCAGGGTTTGGAATTCCAACATGGCAGAGGCTGCGGTCAGTCTTCCCCCTCACTAACTTGGAATGGTTTCAGATCGCGAGCAGCCGCGCTTAACCTCAGCGAGCCGATTCATCTGCGCACTCACCGAGCCGATGGTGCCGCTATAAACCCCGACGCCCGGCGCTGGCAACCCACACGAGGTAAGACGCATCCCGGCTATCGGCGATTTTTGGCCAAATTTCAAAGGGAAACGAAGCGACCCTGCACACCCCAACAGCCATAAAAAACAAAAAAGAGAGAGAGAGACGGTTTTTTGCGCAGCGCAGATCTGCGGCGCATTCCTGCGGCCAGTCACCCTGCGCCTGCACGGACACCGCTCTTAGCGCAGACACGATACACGCTTTGAAGTTTGCGTTGTTTTATTGCATAAAGACTCCGCATCCAGTCCCATTTAATAACTTTCCTGCGACAAGAAGTTGCGTGTTGTTGTTTTTTTGGTTGTTTTTTTTTGTTGCACGTCTGGCCGAATAAAAACTTGCATGCGGGAGGCTGATAGGCGCGTTGTCATTGCGCTCGTGGTGGAACAACCGCTGGCGTGTAATCTATTTTAAAAGTAAAGGGAGGGAGGGGAGGAGGGGGGAGGAGGGGGGGGGGGGCGGCATCACGCTGGTTTGGCTGCTTCCCCTAATAGGCGGCATGGAGAATGTGTGTTTTATGTCATCTGCAGGCTTTCTCTCTCTCACGCTTGCTGTCCTCTCGTGTTAAACTCGCGGGAGAAGTGACAGCCTCCCTTTTCTGCGTCTACCTACTGGGATGCTTTGCTTTGCTTTTTCTTTTTTTTTTAAATTTCATCTCACTGTTCCGTGTCCCTTTTTTGGTTTGATTTGTCCTTAAATACGCGACCTAGATGAACACCGGAGGACAGAACAAGGGAGCGTGCGTTTTTTGAAACTTGTGAAATGTGATAGCTGAGGAAAAAGTGGCTGTAATGAGACGCAACCTTTGGAATTCCTCCTCGTGAAAATTCCCTTTCTGCTGTTTTTTTCCCCTCTCCTCTTGTTTTTAGGCTTGAAGACATGATCACTAGCACCAGTATTTATGGTATGTTCATTTTATGATTATCAATAATATTATTGTTATAATGTCATATGTGTCATAGCCCATTTGGAAGGAGAATGTTATTGTATTAATGCGTTTTTTTTCCCTTTGTGCATGTGTGGGTGATCTTTAAAAGTTTTCTGAAATTAGGTTATTATATGAAACATGGTCCTGAAATTTGGACACATAATGTGCTTCATTTCATACAAGTGGCATTATCAATTAGGCTCAAAGTATCTTGTAAAGGTTTAGGAATTTGGACCCATTTTAAATTGGTTTGGTTTCTATTCCTGACACAATTTTTGTGCAGATTAACTTCCATATTTCTTGCACGTTGAACAATAGATTATTTTTTCTAATGCATGTTAGGGGGAACTTTGCACTTTCATTAAGAGAACATTTAATCCCTGTGTGTGTTGAGACTAGTTTGCTATGTCATAAAATAAAATATTGCCCATAAAATAATTTTCAGGAGGTACTATTCTGACAATAGCTGCCAAATGTAATTTAATTTAACATATATGTGACTGAAGCTCAGAATCTCTCACAGATATTTAGAAAATCTACCCTCAGTAAAATGACTGCTGATGTGAACATTTAGAATCACATGTTATTATCAACCAGCTGCATTACAAACTATGTCTGTTGAATTATTCCCAATGAGATTTCAGTTAATAGCACAACAGAAATACCTGTAATTTAACAATGCTACAATATGTTTGCAATATCATTAATGTAGAGGAGATCATTTAAACATCACAAGACTTTGAGGGAAAACTCACAATTAGCCGTTTTCATTTTTCATTCCTGAAGTTGTCTTGCACTTTAATTTACTCGTCGCACTGTGTAACAATTCTCTTGTGAAACATAATCAAAGTTGCTCACAGCTGACATCAAAGGGAGCGTCAGAAATAGCTGTTATTCATGTTTTCCGGTGGAAATGGTTTGCGACGAGCCAGTAACTGACACAAAGTCAGCAGGAGTCACAAGTTGTGTGCCGTGTCTCTTTTGCAAACACTTTGTCCCAAGCGAACCACGTCCACTTGCATAGAACAATTTACTTAATTGTGCTCCAACATTTCATTTGCATGTTTCCTCTGAGAGGAAATTAACATCAGCAGCAGTGAGCTGAAGTGTGTTTTCATTCCTCTTCAAAAAAATAACAGAATTGCATCCTCCGTCGCTCAGTGGGAGAAAAAATGTACATTACCACCACGTTCATTATGTTTGAGTGTTCAGTTGTAATGTGTTTTTGTAAAGTGCTTATTTCATTTTTGGTCAGATTTTTACCTCCACCTCCACCAACACTATACTTATCTGTGATGTGGGTATTGTTTTTTTTTTTGTTATTACAAAATAACTTTAATTGTAGCAGCTCAGATATGGACTGGATCATTTGAAGTAATTATTGATATCTAAATTGGTATCCACAGCTTGCTTGCATGTGCTCACACTGAAATATCCTGTTAAGTGTGTTTACACGTCACATTTTATATCTTGAGTCTCAATACCAGTTGACAACTTCTGCAAATCACATAATTGTTTTGCTGCTGCAGTATGTTCACACTTCATTTTAGAGAAGGTTATTTACAGAAAGATCTTGACAAATTAGAATGCATCCGCACAACAAAGGCAATCCTCTCGCATTCATCAAACTCCCCTGTTGGATCTGGCGTATACCCTAATTATCGAGTGCAACCGGACACTGTTTATTAGAGTTCAATCCCTGGAAGGCTTCTCTGTCGGCGCTCCTGCGGTGATTCTCGCAGGTCCTTACTTAACCTCAGACGACACCGATGCGCATGGAAAGAAGCTGACAGCTCTGTTTATTTCTCATCGCACTTATGCTAGCCCTCTAAGCTGCTGCTTGATGTCAATCTCTCTGAGCCGAATTCGACGACAGATGCTGACCCTCCCCCCTCCCCCCCCGACCCTCCTTGTTTTCATCACCCTATTTACTGATTGTCACACGTGTTCACACTTTTTAAAGCGTCTGCAAAAAAGAACGAGGAGTTGCGCGAAGTAAACAACAGTAAGTTATTCTATTCAGCTAATCCCCAGTAAAACAAGGATGGCAAAACAATTTTGAAAATTCGTAATCTTTCTAACATTGCTGCTTTTCAACTGTTTATTTACTGAATGTTAGCTGCAGCACATGAATCCACCGAGGTTTCCAGAAGTCAGTGTTTGTGTTATCTGCTGTGACCATTTTAATATACTGCACAGTCTTTGTAGGCTGTTAGGTTAATCACAGATGTGAGAAAAAGTAATCATCGTTATCTGCATAGTGATGCAATCTTTGCATCAGTATGCTGTATGAAGCAGGTTACTGCTCTAAATGTTCTGTCCATAAGCCAAAGTGTGTTACTCCATTAACAAGCGCTAAAATCGACAGCGTGATTTAAAACATTATCACGATAGGACGGACACTTTATATACAGTATGTGCCCTAATGACGGCAATTAAAGCCAGCTCCTAAATACCTTGAGCTGATTCTGTGTAAACACCCGCTGGGATGTCTGCCACGCCGTCCGTAAACTGATGAAATGTTAATCTTTACAGATGTACATATCTGTCAGTAACTATGAGCAATCCTTTCCAGCCCCATGGCAACATAAACAGATCAGTTCTGGATGTTCATCTGATGGCAAATATGTTAAGTGGTGTATAAAAAGCGAGGGAGTCCCCATCCGAGCAGGATGCTAGCAGAAGGGACAAAAACATTCCAATCTTTCTTCTTCCAACGTCTTCCTCCCACTATCCTCCCTTTCTTTCCCCGTCTCTCCCTCTCTCTCTCTCTCTCTCTTTCTTGTGTCCACATCTCTGTCGTTTCCCTTATGGCAGCTTGCTATGTTATCTTTTTGTGTTTCTCTCTAGTCTGACAATTCTTGCAGTGATCTAAGTTGGACTGCATTAGAAAGTGAAGGCAGCTGTCTGTTGCTATACTGAGGGACGTGTTTGCTCTACTGCAAAGATGAAGGACCATGAATCCTTGACATCCTCCCTTTCTCCCCCGCGCTCCACCCTCCTCCTCCTCCTCCTCCTTCCACCATCTCATTTAGACACAGCGACTGTCTGCTCAGACTGTTTTTTTTCCTCTGAGTGACAGCATATGGCGTGGACATTTTCTAAAATGCACGAGCTAAACATTTAGCTGTACGTCTATTTGTTATTCTAATCCAAACAAAATACTTAACGCACAATTCAATTTGGTACATGGATCTCTCTGTTATTATGTTGGCATGTACCTTATCATCTTACATGTTTGAAAGGATTATGTGCAAGTACATGTCTTTGCATGTCACCGTGAGTGTGCACGTACACTATGTGTGTCTGTTTCTCTTTGTGCATGTTCTTTTTCCCCGACCAGTTTTTATGGGGGAAAACAATGCCCTTGTCTTAAAAAACGAATCTTGCACATTTCTCCTGTTAGCATTTTTTATGATCTACACCATAATAGCCACTGAGCTTATAGAGCTTAGAGTTAACTAAATGACTGATGTTCATAAGTCAAGGTTGATTTATTCAGGCTATATTTGCAAGGCATATTATTTACAAATACGGCATTTGTTGCTTTGAATTCGTTGGTCTCCCTCATTTCCAACACGTTGAAACAGTGGCTTTGTTTCATCTCCTTCACACGAGGTGTCTGTGCACTTATCAGGACACGAGGCAGCTCCCCGCCTGTGGGGGATTGGCTGGAATAGACAATCCCCAGGTGTACTAAACTAGGTTTACTACTAAGGCTTTTAATCTGGACTTGTCGGAGATTCATGTGCATTCATAGATTTGCCTCTGTAATTATCATACCCCCAGTGGCAGCCAGAGAGACATTTGCCTAAATCACTGATGTCCTCATTACGCTGTTTACATTTTAATTAGAGATGCTATACCCCTGTCTTTTTTTAATGGCCACAAAGATTGAAGGTCTTCCTATCATTCCTCTGGGAATGTCAGGGACTATTTGTTGCCTGGCTGTAAGTCGCAGTAGTAGGTGCATATTGCTAGAAAAGAAAAATTATTTTCCACCTTTTAAATGATGTCTTTTAGCTAGACTATTTATTTCTGACTTTAAGGCAGTAAATATCCAGCCGCGAACCACTGATTTGAACAAACTCTACTGTTGAAAATAGCCGTCACTTTGAGCTGTCATTGTGTGCCTGAGTAGCTGTTTCTCATCATTGAATAACCTTGGTTAAGAGAGGTGTTTTTTCCCGTCCTTCTTACAAAGTGTTTTTCATCTTATTTCATTGCATGCTGTTATGCAGTTTTGTACTACGAGAAAGCAGCAAGCTTTTCACAGGAGCATAAGAGAAAACTCAATATTTTCCTGTATTGTAATTCCTCTTGTGTACCCACAAAAGTGTCTGACTAATCTGGCCATCTAGGGCACCTTTCTATCTGGACTGAAAACCCATACAGCAAGAGAACCTTTTAAGCACTTTCATCATAACACACATTTTCAAATATAATTTGAAGTGTTTGAACTTTTCTTTTTTAAACAGTCTCAAATTTTCCTTTAATGCTGCCCTGTCTTAATCAACATAGCCCCTTAAATATGATAACGCCCAGAAGCTGTGATCCCACCGCTTTGATTGCGCTACAAGAACGCAGATCGCTCTAAATTTAATAAAAGATGAAACATATAACTGTAAAGAACAAAATTTTAATTTGAATAAATTTGTCTCACGGAATAATTCTGTAATACAACCATTTCATTTAATAAGTGCATGACAATATAATAGTGTTATAATTAATTTATTGAAATACATGCTCAAATTAACTTTGATATTTTCATTCGAGAGCATGCGGGGATTTGCTTTGAACAGAAACGTTAATCCTTTGACCGTTTCCCATTGTCGCATTCATCACATCCCATGCTAATTGTCTCAAATTGATATCTGAGACAAGTAGCTGAAAAGATGATCTGACGAGATGTGAGCTATCGGTGGCTGTTACGGAAACTTCTGAGTGCTTCATTCATCCTCCGCGGAGTCGGTCGG